CCTGTTTGCTTCTTGGTAACCTCGTGAAAAGCACAAAGCTTAAGCTAGAGTACAACTTCTATAGCTCAATGACTGTCTCTCCAGCTCAGAGGGTGTTACTAGATCCCCCAAACTAAAATAAAGGTAAGAGCTTGGGGGTCATTGTGGGGGAGAAGTAGTAAATGAATTAGGAGACCTTAAGAAGGTAGATTAACTTGAAATGTATATAGATATACTAAAATTTAAGTAGACAGATATACTTAAATCACATTTCAATCATATAGACATATGCCTAAACATATACATACATAAATGGATTTGGCCATGGGGGTGGAGGGTAAAGGTTAAAAAAAAGACACGTCAAAAAATTGATAGGAATATTTCAAATGAAAGTTGGATGCTGAAAGCATGCCATGCACCCCACCCCACCCCACCCCAAATAAAGTACCAATTGCTGCTTAGAAGCTCATAATGACTTTTGCCCAGTTTCAAGAAAAGCAGTATCCTACTGCAGAATTTGGTCCCATTGATCAGGGGCTGTGATATACTTTATGCACTTAAATTTTTCTAAGTCCATGTATAATGGAGAGGCTGGGCAGACAGATGAAACTTAAGCACTGTCTTCCACCACAGTAAAATAAGTAGCAGCATAACATGCTTCAACAGGCAAACAGCACAGGTCTAAAACACAGGTCCAAGGAATTCTATGCGTAGTCTTCAGCACTGGTGCTCTGTGACCTGTAGAAAATTATTTGCTTCTCCGGGTCAAGGTTGGCTGAGTAAAGTCAGGATCATCGAGCCTATTATCCTACACAGTAGTTAACTTCACGCAAAGAAAATGACTCCAAGGTCACATTCAATATTTAAAATTTTTTTGGAAGAAACAGATCACACAACAAATAAAATCTGCAGATGATATGAATGACTAGGCATACCCTATCATCTCACAACGCTAAACAAAAACAATTCAAAAATCAAGGATGACCTCCCAGTTATTGGGGTCATCTTTGAATATGAAAGACAGGATCTAAATAATATTATCCTTTGGTGGCAGCTGTGTGCTCATCTGTAATAAAACAAGGGGGCGGGGGAGGGGAATCATTGTACTCAAAGGATTGTTAAGATAAGCAACCTATAAACATAGGTGCCACGGGGTTCTTAAACGAGAGATTGCTCTGTAAAACTCTCAGTGATGACCCAGTGATCTGGAAAAAGCCAAGTTCAGTACCTTGGCCCATTCATGTCCTTTTGCCAACAGGAAGTAAATATTCCAGGTATTTGTGACCTCTGAGAAGAAGACATTTGGTTTCTTAGGCATTGCATGGTTGAAAGAGGGAAGGGCAACAACGTCTGATAGATCCTCTCTTGTAACCTTGCCTAGAAATCTTAAAGAATTATGCCAGTATTTAAAATGGGAGGTTAGAACCCACGCGCGATCATCAAACTATAAATTTTTTAAAATTATCTTGCAATAATTAATCCTTCAAAATTCACACTGACTTCAGTGAATAGAGAGGTGGCAATCAATTCTCAATACATTTCTGTGATGCTGAAAAATGTATCTACCCAATTAACGGGGCAGCTCAAAATACTACTAAGGTGACTTTCAGAAACTGAGAGTGTTTGGGTCTCTGGGTGGATGTCCAGGGGAGGCAGGCCAGCTACAGTTCTCTAAGGAGACCCTGGATCTAAGCTTTGGACTGCTAACTGCAAGGTTAGCAGCTCAAGTCTACCAGCCACTCCAGAGAAGAAAAATGAGGCTATCTGCTTCCACGGAGATTTATAGTCTTGGAAACCAGAATAAGGTGTTGGTACAAGCCCCCAAGCTGGGAACAACTTTGCAAGAGAAAAGATGGGACGATGTTTCCTTCTGTTGTGTATAAGGTTACTATGACTCAGGATCAACAGTTGCTATGAGTCATTATCAACCCAATGGCATCTAACAACAAGGACTAAAACAGCCGCAGAACTGGACTCAAGCATAAACACCAGTGGTTGAGGCTGGAGCAGTGTTTCATTCATAGGAGGTTCCTCGAGTTGCTATGGGTCACAGTTGACTCCCCAATGCCTAACCACAACATGGGACGCCGGTCCTTCTATCCTCCAAGAAGCAATCCCCAGCACTATGTGGTAGGGCTACAAGTCATCCCAAAGCACCCCAGAAAATCATTGGCCTAGGAGAGGGAGATAGGGGGGCTAAGACTAGGGTTGTGAATTACCTTGCCTCCCCAGGCAGACTTTCTTGGAATTGGGGTCAACCTAAAATAAGAGCAGTTGAGGATCCCAAAACACATTCAAACTCAGGCTAAAAGATGCCCCTTGCTAAGGACAGAGTGACTTAAGACGGTATCTATAGAATTCACAAGAACTCACATAACCTGGACATTTCTGAACATTAACTCACGGACTCCAATTCTTTTATCTTCTAAGCCTCATTCAGGGTTTCTCTGACTATGGTGAGGGACTCCTGGCAGCAGAATCACCTGAGAGTTCTTGTTAAAATAAAATTGCAGGTTCACAGGTCCAACTCCAGACTACCGAATTTCAATCCTTGGGACTGGAAAACAGTCCAAGAACTGAATTCTAAGGAGCAACCCAATTGATTCTGATAGTTACAGTAAGGTTTGAGCATCATTGCATCTACACAGCTCTTCAGAAATTAAAGACACTCAAAGATTACAAAGGCTTGGTGTATTTCCCCCCAAATGCTTTAATACCATAAAAAGAAAACCAATACAGAGTTCTTAAACACCATCCATTTATTCTGCCCACAAGCAATATAATGAATACTGTTACTAAAAGGCAATTATAAAATGACTGGGGAAACGATCAACTGCATGTCTGAAAAATACTGTATTTATTTGGTCACCCCAAATAATTATGGTACTAAAGGAATTTATAATGTTTTAAAGTACCAGTCACTTGGGTGCAGGAACTTATGAAGTCGTTATACTCCTCATATGCTCTTTTAGTCATAAAACTTTTGTGATAAAGATTTTTTATTGTTTTTTTAAAACTATATACTCTGAACCACTGCAACCAGTGATTAGGCTGCAATATAAATTTATATCCAAGTTATAAATTCCTAAAAACAAGTTATAAATTCCTAGTAAATTAAATTAACCTCTGCAATCAAGCTCTGTCCTTCTATTAAAGGTTTGGTTTGGGGTTGGGGTTTGTTTGTTTATTTGTTTTGGGAGAAAAGTAAATCTGTCGTAATGCATTCTCTTAAGAAGCAAAAGATAACAGTGTCTGATATACACGCTACTGCAAAGCAGTATACTATGGGACAGGCACCACATTTCTTCTCCGGGAGAATATTTCTTGCTCTGCTTCCTGTACAGTCCTCACTCTTAAAAGTGTGACTACAATTATTTCACAAAATGCAGCTTGGTATTTCTGAAGAGACAGCACTCCCCTCTCCTCCCGTACCAAAAATCACAAGTTCAAACCCAATTTGAAGAAAGAACTAACCTGAAACTAGCCTTTGTTTGCAGTATATTGTTTCTGCTGAGAGTTGCCCCCTACCCATGCTCCACCTCAGTGCTGACTGAAGTGTACATGCTATGTTTTAACAGATGGGCCAGCTGGCAGCTGCTGGGCTGTAAACTAGGAACAAGGAATCAACACCGAATGGTATTGAACGGAAAGCTCGTAAAGTTCATGGACATACACTGACCCAGACAGACCAGGCAGATCTAGACATGATTGCTTACACACTTACACACACACACTCTTGCTGTCTCTCATCATTCCCTACCCCCCCCCACCAGCTTGAAGGAGGATCCATCTCCAGGACTCATGGGAAGCTCAAGGCTGTTTCCCCTTTATATCCTTCTAAGTCATTCAACCTATCAAATATAAGTATACATAAGTATATGTATATATAGATACCCATATGTACAGATGTATATGTGTGTTCACATACACATAAATAACTATGTAACTCAATGTTTTCATGGTTTCAAAGATTAAAACCATTCCAATTCCTGCACCCAGGTCTCCATCTAATACTCCCAATAAGCACTCATTCATGTCAATTATGAATTACAAGAAAATTGTAAAATTGAATTACATTTAGTTCAAAAATAATATAAACTACCTGTATGTAATTGCCACATCCCCAACCCCCATGTAATACAGCAAAACGAGGCTTTTACCCCCTTCACCTTTAAGGGGAGAAAAAAAATCTGTCCAAAGCCCTAACCGAAGTGTCAGGTTTAACCTTGAATCCCCTGTCAGTTCCTGTCACAACTTCATCACTTCAGCACACAGGTGCTTAAATAAACGCCGATCTACCCTCCTGGAGGTCCCTTTCCCAGGCACGTCTTGGATTTTTCCGGGACAGCTAGATTCTCCTTGGCCTTAACCAAGTCCCTCTGACAGACACATCTTGGGGGTGGCTGTGGGGGTCCGAGCACCTCCGGAGCGAGGCAGATTCAAGTGTTAATAGAAAGAAATTACTTTACAAAGTTTAATGTCCCTCCTGACCAATGCGACAGTGCCCAGCCGATGCCCTAAGTTCTAAGGGCTCGGAGGACCCCCTGAGAACCGGAGGAGCGCTCCTTCGCTCGCTCGCTCGCTCGCGCGGCCCCCACGGATTCGGACCCGGACGCCAGGTCACCGCCTCTGCTCCAGCACGGGCTGAGGCTCGGGAACCGTCCGCACGCCATCGAGGAACTGCACCAGGCGCACCCCCAGCACCCTCCCCGAGCCGCGTCGCTGCCGCAGAAGCGCAGGGGACGCGTCCCCGGCCCCACCTACAGCTGGTAATCACAGCACGCCAAGTTCCAGAGCTCGCAGAGCGGCGTCCCGCGCCGAGTTGGGGTGCTTTGGAAACAAGAAGTTCGGCAGCGGGGATTTGGGCACCGAGTCCATCGCGCCCAGCCCTGACCTCCCCGCGGCAGCCGCGCTCCGACGGACCGAGAGGCGCGCGCCCGGACGCGTCCCGTCCTCCCGCTCGCCGATCGCCCAACAGCGGCCGCCCAGAGGAGCCGCTCGCCCTCCGCTCCGCCACTCACCTCCTCGCCGAGTCCCGATCTCAAACCGACGTCCCTGCTCCGGGTCCTGAGCCCTAAGTTGCCCCGATTTGGCGGCTGCTCTCGCCCCAGCGGACCCAGGCACATTGGTTCAGGCAGCACCTCCAAAGGATCGCGGCGAACCCGGTGGCCGCCTTTGCTCAGCAGCCGCCGGGAGCGCCCTGACAATTCAAGGACCTGCTCAGCGAATGAGGCGGAACGCGGCGCCGAGCCGACAGCGCTCGGGAGGGAGGCGGGGCAGGACAGCGGGCGGGGCGGAGTCAGCCCCGGGGACCGGCCCTGAGGGGCGGGGCAACCGTCGCCCCGTGACGGGCGGAGACAGCAGCCAATCAGAGCGGCGCCGGAGCCCCCCGGCGGCCGCCGGCGGTCCGGAGTGCCTGGCCCGGCCCTGAATCCGTTAGCCAATCGCCCGCGAGTGGAGGCTGGCCGGCGGGTCCCGCGGGTGGCGGGCAAGTTCGCCGCGGTGAAAAGCAGAGGCTGTGGGCTGCGGCTGCGGGGCCCTCGGCCGCGACGTTAGGTGCCTCGAAAGGGACCTCGTGGCCATGGATGGTCCGTGGCCCAGAGAGGCCTGGACGCCTCGGGGGTCGCATCCCGACGCGCTGTGTGGCTAGAAGCCCCGCTGCCCGCCGGCCGAGACTGGGTCGCTGATTAGGGCACCCGACGCCCGCGGGAGGGGCGCACCCAGGCAGCCCCAAAGTGACCCCAGCAGTCGGAGGAAACCGAGGGCCCCCTCGGGTGAGTCCCAGGCCAGGTCACCCCGCCGCCAATGGCAGCCCGGGACAGAGAGCTCTGGGCTCCCCGGGACAGTGGCTCTGGTTTCTGTCCGGTGGTTCTCTCCAAAACCCAACTCCGGTTCCGCGCCCCTCAGAGAAAAGAAAGTTCGTTACATGCCCCATCCCCGCACGCCTGTCCCCCCACACCACACGAGCCGCAGAGATTTCCCCATCCCAGCCCCGGCCGGAGCCCCCCGGGTCTCAGAGCTAGGGACAGCGTAGGTGCTTGCCGGACGGTGCCGCACCCCTCGAGTCCCTCCCTCCGGCCTGGCCACCCCACGAGATGGCATCCGCAGCCGAGGCTGGTTCTGCCCCTGTACCCTGAGAACCCAGGTCCCGGAGAAACCCAAACACAGGAAAGCCACAGAGTCCGCCAACCTGTCCCTTTCTGCGTATGTACTCTCACCTCCAACCCCCGGAAGTATGCCACCTCAGACCGAGCCCTGGAAGGATCCTTAATCTCTTGGACACCCGAGACACTGAGGTTTGCCAGCCACTTGCAGCCAAGTAGCCCCAGAAGAAGGCAGCCAGGCCCCGTGCAGCTAGTCTCTTTGGACGGGGCTAAGCCCGTCCCCTCGCTGCAGGTACACATGATGTAGCTGCTGCTACTCATAGGAAGGCACAAAGGGTAGGCAATGGATGCTGAGGTCTAGAATGCAAACAAGTCCTAGACTGTAAACTGCTGATGAGTAGGGGCCTCTCTGTGCCAAGAACAGCAATTGCCATAGGTTGGCATCCAATCCATATGAGTAGCATGAGGGACTGCACGACAGGCAAGGGTGCAGCCCTCTTAGTGCCCTGACCCTCCGCTGAACCACCCATCTGCCTTCCAGCCCGACCCCATTTCAGTTAAAGGCCATTTAGAAGCTCTAAAGGTTTTAGTCTCAGTGTGGACAACTATTCATGGGAATGATGTCTGAAGGAGTATGGACTTACAGAACTGTTATGCAAAAGCGAGCACCTTGGTGACACAAATGGTTAAGCACTAGACTACTGGCTGCCAAGCTAGCCACTCAAACTTATCCTGTTCTGAGGCTAGCTGCACCCTAAGTTGAGTTTCTATTCTTTTGTCACAGCTCCCTCTCTAGCTAGATAAGACAGGGACAGAAGAGAGGGTAGGGACAGGGCCTGGAAGCCTTAAGCAGGCTATGAAAAACTAGTCAATGATCCAGAAGTTGCTCATATTTAATTATTTCCTCACCGAGTGAACCAAAGGCTGAGGGAGACTCCATCTTTGGAAGACTCAGTCCAGAGGAACTCTCTGTTTCAATTCTATGAGTTGCTGAGTGGCTTGGGAGAATGAGCAAGCTGGCGTCTGCCTACAGGAGTTAGCTGTAGACAACATCAGGAAAGACCCCTCAATCTCTGCTCAGGTGCGGCTGCAGAAGAGGGGCTGGTGGTGCCAGGCAGACAGAATCCCAGGAAGAAGACTCCTCCTTCTCCTGGTTCAAGTAGAACTCCACTTTGATCTGGTTCACAAGTTGCGTTTTCTGTTTGCTTTCATGAACCACAGTAAGCCTCTCCCTTGAAGGCTGCCACGAAACAGATAAACTTTTGCTGGAAATATCTGAAATTTCTCTTGGAATAAATATATGAGGGAGGTTGACAAAATTGCTGGGGGAAACTCTTTGAAGCCCCTTCATATTTCCTGGGATTTTTTTTTCTTTATGCTTGAATCTAACTAATGAAAACGTTTGACAGCAGTATTGATTAGATGAACACCGTTTGAAGGCTGTTTTTCAGAGATGATAATGGCCATTTTTAAAATCACCTTGGTAATAGGAACCAAACACCAGCTGATACATGTGTTTGTTCATATTTGCATTTAAGAACCACCACAGTTCTTCCTACAATGTCGATTAGGTCTCAAAATGACCCAATAGGACAGAATAGATCTGTCCCTTTAGGTCCCTTTAGAGCTCCCTTTAGGTTTCTGAGGCTGTATGTCTTTCCAGGAGCAAGAAGCCTCATCTTTCCCTTCGAAGCAGCCCAACTCTGCCTCGCAGCCCCCCTCCCGGGCTCCTTGAATTTGCCTTAGATGATGAAAAAGGAAACAGAAAAGTCCTTTCCTGAAATGGGTTAGAACTAAACCAATGTGGCTTCCACGATGTTCTGTTCGCTAAGGTTTGCCCCGCCATGGCGTTGTGACAGAAGTAGATCTCATTAGAGTGGACCCAACTCCAGAGACGGCTAGGGCGCCCGGCATCCAAAGGGATGTAGTAAGCCTTGCCGTTGGTTCTTTTGAGTGACCACCAAGTACAGGAGAAGATGGGGTTGAATCTGAACATAGTCTAAATGTACTCTCTCTCTTCGTACGAGAGAAAATGAAATCTGCGTTGAAGCCCCACGACGGCCTGATCTGTATGAAACGAATAGAAAACCGTGACTATCTGGACGTGGATGGCAGCTGTTCAGTTCTCCCCTGGTTCATGCAAGGAAAGTTGTTTCCCTCGGAAGTTTGAGGCATGGCTCCGGAATGAGAAGACTGGGATGAGACCACGTTGAACACATTGCCTTCGGGCACCTTCACCTGCTCACCATAGGGTGTGATGGGCTGGAGGCTGTAGGTTCTAATCTAAGTGGCTGCCATGGTGAGTGCTCCTGGCAGTCTCTTAACCTCTGCTTACGCTTGCTTCTTCAGCCATAAAGCGGCAGTGGCAGAATTGGCCCACTCTGTCTGGCTGCTTCAGGGGGCACAGGGACAATAGTTACCAAACACTGCGAGTGCACGGCATTTCTCGGCATTTCTCGCAGTGCTGACAGCTGAAACGGAGAACAAAATTATGCTGAAATGAGAAAGTAGTGATATCTGAACAGTTTCTCTCTATACTTGCAATTTCCATTTATTATAATCTCATTGGATTATTGTCCTCCCATTCTAGAAATGCAAATGAGGAAAAAGGCCTTATTCTTTGATTATAAAATGTTTTGGAAGCTGTTCACGGGGAGGGTTGGAGAAGCAGATCTGAGGTTGAAGAAATTTTTACTGAAGTGATTAGTTTCTTCCCCTCTCTCCCCCCTCCACCACTCTGAACATATATTCACCCTGAAAATGGCTCATGTTTTGAAAAGGTTATGCTAAATATCTTAGCCAAAAAAATGCAAAGTCAGAAACTGCAGATTTTAGTACTAGCTCTTCCGTTGATTGGTTTTGAGACCTGGGGCAGTTATTAACCACCCCCCATCCATGGGACTGCAGTGATACTTGGAACTAATTTCACAGAGATGGGAGAGATAACGAATAATAAGGAACTTTGATATATTAATTATGTTAATTACAGACTACAGAATGTTGTGTAAGTGTTTTGGGGCAAACTAAATATGGCGTTGGATTGTGTACCACAGCTAGGAGATGTACTGTAAGAGAGCTCACTCTGGCACACCGTCTGCAGCCAGGGTGACGCCACCATAAATCAAGGATCCCTCATGGCAAACAACGGAACCATGTGAGGGGACTATTTCAACAAGTTAGAGTGTGATCTCCAAAAGGAGTTGATAAAGGGAAAAGGAAACCCCCTTTCCCCAGAAACATGGGACTTCACCACATATGCACCAGAAGAGAAATTACATTGAACTTCTTAAAAATGTGTGCCACTAAGTGAGAGCACTCCTGATAAAAGCCTAGAATGATCTTGGAAAATGATGGCCTGATATAAAGTTAGACGAACTTGCAGAGAATTCCCCCAAAGGAGATAACCCATTGTCAAATCTGCCTCCTAGGGATTCTACCTAGGCTTTCCAGGCCTGTAAACCTTTACATAGCCCCGCCCCCCTCCCTTGGATCACCTGGTGGTTTTCACCTTGTGCGGAGCAGTCCAATTCTTACCTGGCTGTGCCGCCAGAGCACCTGAAAGAAAAGCACCCCTAATTTTAAAACTTCCTAACACGACGAGTTAGATTACACAGAAGTAGCCATTGCAAAGTGTGTATGCTGTAACAATACCACGAGTGGGTGGGTGTAAATGACAGACGCTTATTTTCTCATAGTTAAGGGCTAGAAGTCTGAATGCAGGGTGACAGCGCTAAGAGAGGGGCCTTCGTTGCCTCTTCAAGCTTCTGATCGCTTTTGGCAGTCCTTGGCTCTTAGATGCATTTGTTTCTGTTCTCTGCCTCACTTCCATCTCCCACCCCCAAGCCCTATGTCTGTCTGTATATTCCGTTTGTTTTGTTATATTTAAACTTTCAGAAGTGATTCGGTTTAGGGCCCTTCCTACTTTGGTGTCACATCATGAACACAAGACAAGAAGCCCCTGTTTCCCAAAAGGATTATATTCACAGTGACAAAGGTTAAGACTTCAATATAATTGTGGGGACACAATTGAATCTGTACCAATGGACTGTGGGAGAGTGGGAAGGAATACATGTCCAATATAAGCAAAAAGTACT